TCACACGGCAGTGCTGATTTCTATGTCTCTCTATCTTGTATTTTTTTTATTACCGTAAATGTTATATTTAATGTGTGCATGTGTTTGAGTAAAGATCCATGTTTTTTAAACAGTTGAATTCAGTGTCTGTTGGCAAGGCTTATTGGCATATTTTCTTAAATAAGACTCTTGAATAGATGTTGAATTACACTGTTTAAAAAAACACAGATGCCTACTCATACATGTGTATCCGCTAAATATAATGTTTATATTAATAATTATATATCAGATTATAAATAAAATCCATTAATTCCTTGAAAATTATGTTTAATATTTTTTTTGTTTATGACCAAAAAGTACTCAGTTTTAGAAATAGTGTATGTAGATATAAACAAGATGATGATCATTTAAGGTGTGAAACAGCTAAACATGATGCACTATTATCTTCTATGTCCACACTGTTGTTTACATACATATATACATACACACACACACATATATATATATTAATGAATATGCATCATATCCAACGTCGATAACACAACTCGGAGTTTCATGCAAACTTCCAATCTTTGAGTGCTGAATACAGTCTGACCGTTATAGCATTATGATAGTTGTGTTTTCATGCTGATGATTTAAAATTGTGTGTTAAGACTTATTTATTTTATTATTGTTTCCTACAATATCATAATTAATTATTTATAATTTACATCATTCTAATTCTTAAGTTCAAAAGACGAATAATTAAAAAATAAATGAAGATTAAAATAAAAAATTATTTTAAATGAAAAATTATAAATTAAGTAAACACATTATGTATCAAGGGGGATAACTCTCTTTTTTGCATAAAATACCATTGTTGTAACATTTAAAGTACCGTCTAATAGAATAAACTTAGTACTCACCGTGTTAATATAATAATAGGTTGAGACTATATATCTAATGTGTTTGGAACCTAGCCTTATACTTACAAAAGTGAAATTACATAAACACACACATAAATTAATCGAGTATGGTAATATAGGATTATATATGTGTATAGATATATAAAAAATGTTATTAATGAAGTGTTCTATGAATAGCTAAGGAAATGCAAAGAAATGGAATCCTATCTTTCCCAAAGGTATTTGCACATAAGTTAATGTCACAAACTCAACTGGAATTTGAACTCAGCTCTTCAATTTCTCTTCTCAAACCACTTACATCAACTGCACACACACACACACACACACATAAATATATATATATATATATATATATATATAACACAGATATGTGCATACTTAATACTGGATGCCTTTTTTGACATTACATTTTCTGGGGGCACTTATTTTAAATCGACTTACACAGATTATTTGAGGCTTTTAAAAAGATTTCTCATAGTATATTATAAAAAAAATAAACACAAAATTATTTATATTTTTTTTTTGTTGTTCTTTTGAATCTGGGTAGTTTCTCACCATTCTTTAGTTTCTGTCATCTGACTGAGCTCCTAAATAATTGACAATTAATCATGTCAGACTATTTTGTTGTGTTTGTATCAATCAGAGAATTTCCAACCAGATAACAAGTAGCCAATGATCTTTATTTTGATGTCCTGTTGTATTTTTTGCTTTTGTTGTTTCAAACAAATGAAGCACACTTCCTCTAATTGGTCTTAATCTTGCTTTTCTTTTCTTTACTGCCCTTCAATGATCAATAATGTTTCAGCGAAGCAAGATAGACAACTAAACAATTGTATGAATCTGTTGACCCTTCAATTTTGGTTTGTTTTTTTCTGTTTTTTTTTTCCTTCTTTTACATTTTTTTTAAAAGAGACAACTTTGCAGCTTTGCTACATGTAACTTTTTTTTAATGCCATATCCCTCTAGAACATAGGCAATTGTGGCGGCTCCCCACAGATTTCTTTCTTATCTGTAAATTGCTATGCATTCTTGGAGTGGTTTTCCTGTTACCTTCTTCAGGGTTTAAAATTCAAAGTTTTCCTTCCATTAGACTGGTTGATGTCCAATGCTAGAGCTCAGTCTATCCTGCTATTTAACCTATTACTTGGGAATAAGAGACTGGTTCATGACTTTCCTACAGCCATTTGCACAAAAGTGAATGCGACAGACTAACTTAGAATTTAATTTCAGCTATGCACATTCTTTACAGGCATTATATTTTGTTTTGGCAAAGCAGCATTTTCATCTTGTATAACAGTTTTCTAACCCTTTATTTATATAGTTTGTCCTGTTAAAATATCTTTTTTCTTTTCTTTTTTTTTAAAGGTTAGCATAATGCCAAATTATGGAGACTATACATCAAGGTATTAAAACACTAAATACACAGACATTCTGGAAGTTTTCTTTAACACCCCAATTGGTAAACAATTTTTAAAAGAAAATAAAGCCATTTATTTAACTTTAATTTAATCATTACACAGCTACATCATATTATCAGCTGTGTAAACTGCAGATGAATTCAGATGTTAAAGTTGTAAATTAAAAGTCAGGGTGTATGTTGTTTAATCTTCATAAATAAAGCATCTAAATTTACATTAGTATTGGATCTTTTTTTTTACAGTATTGGTTATAAAAGAAAAATGAAATGTTCTAATCCAATGATCTAAGGATCATTATGCAAAGCAAAAGTGAAACACTCCATTTACATTGGTGCCATTTAAGAAAGTATGAAAATAATTATTAACTTTAAAGTGTGATTTTAATTTGTTATCTCTGATTTTAACAAAGTAATAGCATGGATTTACTAGAGGCATTTTTTAAACGATGTAAAATTGGTTGTATTTGTTGGTAGCTGGAATTGGTATAACAAGTTCAAATTTTGAGCACTTCTGTTTCGTCTAATTCACAGTAATGCACTTGGAAAAGGCATGAATCCATCTTTGTCCAAATAGTGACCAGGGCAGAGAAAAACTTTTTGCTTTAGTTGGGAGCCACTCTAGAGGAAGGAAATTCAAATTTCCTGCAAATAATAAGATAGACTGGGTTATTTTGTCTCTGAATTCAAAATCAGCCAGAAGAGAAACTGACCTTATCAAGTTATCTTGTCCAAGACAACAGACCCGCTATGGTTGCATATGTTATTTGCCTAAAGGGGAAAGGGAATAATTTACAGTTTTTTTTTAATTGTCTTATTTGTAAAGTTGAACCATTTAACTTGCTTGGCAATTTCAAAAGATCAAAATGTCATATTTTTCTTGTTCATTTTGGTGGTAGATTTTTAAATTCATATTTCAAAATTTTAGAATGTAGCAATTAAAATGTTTTCTTTTAACATTTCATGAGGTTTTGTTTATTATTATAATTATTATATAAAACCTTTTATCACTTTTTTTTGTATCAAAGTAAATTTATATATAAAATTAAGTTAATAGCATATCCTTTTCACTATTTCATCCTGGCTAAGACATTAAACTACATCCGCGTCCTGGGTAAGACAATAAACTACACCCAACAGCAAGACCTCTGATCAGGAGGTTTTGAGGAGTGTGAAACCACCTCTTAATTGCTGGTGTTCCCAGGTCCACCCTGACCTGAGGTGGTAGCACCTGTTAGGGTCCCAGCTATAGGCAAATAGTTAACTATTACCAGCAATAGTTTTTTGAAAAAATTATTACCAGCAATATAATTTTGAAGGAAAAATATTACCAAAAATAGATTTTTGACAAAACAAAATATTACCAGCAATAAAAAATTTTATCAGTATTAAATAACCTGTTGAGATTGATATGCCGTAAAACAAAATAAACCAAACCAAACCTTTTCACTATTAAACAACTGTTTGGACATAGGGTTATTTAAGTTTGTTGGTTTCTTCTCACACTAAAGAAAATAGAAGAAGTAAAGCAAAGCTCTGTGATTCTGTAAACATCTGCTGCTGCTGCTGCTGCTAATATTACTACTACTTCAGTGCTGGCTCTGTAGTTAGTGAGTGCTTTATTTTATTTCAAACAGTATTGATGCCTTAAACTCATTTTAAAAAGATAAAAATAAATTTAACATTTTCTTAACGGCCATCATGTTTAGAATTTATTGTCCCCCTGATTATTTTTTAATTAATAATTATGAATTCAGTCACTTTCTCACTGATGTGGTGTGGCTTCCCTCTGTCTTTTCTACAAATATTTAACATGGCAACTGTTCTGATGAGCTTTTTTTCCCCTGGTGCCCCAACTACATGAATTTAAGCGTGCTACTAGATTGGCATCTAGGTCCCACCCTTTTACTGTTACTGAAATACTTAAATGCAACCACCACTTCTACTTGAACAGTTTCTTTTCTTGCACTTCCCTCCTGTGGAACTTCCTTTCATTTAATTGCTTCCCTGATAAATACAATCTTCAAAATTTTAAATGCAATGTCAATCGCCATCTTCTATCTTCTTGAATCTTGTTCATCTTTTGTATTTCCTCAATTCTCCCTATACTCGTTTTTTTCTCTCATTTTCACAACTGTAATCCCCTTGCGTGCTAGTGGCATTTCTGACTTGCTTGGGATGAAATGATTAAAAAAGAAAAAATAGTAAAATGCAATATTTTTTTAAAATTATGATCTGCAAAATATTAAGTAATATTATTTTGTTAACTGTTTACACATGATTTTTAACAAATTAACAAAAATGTTTTCTTTTGATTTTATTTTTTTTCCCCAAATAATATGGAAATGTTTTTAAAAACTGTCACTGCATCAATAATTTCTGACTAAATGTAAAATATTTTTAAAATTTCTATTACAGCTGATTTGTTAAATTAGTCACTTGTGTTTTGTTTGTTTTTTTAAATTTTTTATTATTGGTGTGTTAAACTCCTCAAAACTGAATTTTTATGAGCATGGAAGATTTAAATGAAAGGAGACATCCATTGGTGAGGGTACAAAGCAAAGTATTTGAGAAAGAGAAGATAAAAAAGACATAATTCAGTTCTAAATATTCAACAAAGAAATGCAAATTAATTTTTATGGGTACTATGCTAATTATTATTATAATTTATTATAATTAAAAAATGAATTTTTAATTATCAGGTGATGACACAGCTAGAGTGAAGAAAAACCTTGCAAAAAGAAGTCATGACATTTGGTATGAAGCACGTCTCATTTCATGCAACCATGAACACCTAGAAAAACCCAAGAAAGTCTATGTTTATATGTCCCCGAAGGTAAGTTGCTTCTATTTAATTATCATCTGAAAACAATTGGTAATTATTTTTAAGTAATGCTATTAAAGCACAAACCAAACAAGCTGGTGATAAGTGTCACATATTTTGATGCATCACAGAGTTGATGTAAAATTCAATTTTAAAATTTTAGTCACTTTTTGTTCCTGAAAAAAAAAAAAAAAGTCTTCCTTTACTTTTCAACAAATTCTATTAAAAATAAAAACTCCTTTATTTTCATTGCTTTGAACACATAGAAACATTTTCATCAAACTCTTTCCTAAAGAAAGTATTTAAAAAATTAAAATGTAATTTAATTAGGTTTAGCACATCAGGTAAACTTGTAGATCCTTTGATATCGATGACAAAACAAAAACTAATTAGATTTTATATAAAGTGTCATTAGCCTTAAAAGAGGATAATAAGTGCCGTTCCTCAAACAATAGCCCAACTCAAAAAAGCGAGAATAAAAGAAAAAGAAAAACAACCTTCCAAATCCAATTTGTTTGTGACACATCAATGTTTATTTTGCATGCTTTCATTGCTGGCAATAAAACTTGGACACAAATTAATGTCAGTTGTTCTTTTGTCATCAACAGTTTGATGGGGGAGGAAAAGTTGCATAAGAAACGCAGGTTGAATGAAGGTAGACTTATTGAAATTCAAATGAAAGTGCAATTCTTTAATTCTCTCACGCTTTCAATGTGTACATTAGAATTTCTCAGGGGAATTAAAATCTCTTTCTACTGTCTGGAGATTGTTTAGGACAAGATACAAAACTTGAAATGAATAAAAATCACACAGAAAGCAATGATTGTACAACATTCACTCACAATGAAAGTAGATCTCTCAATGTACATCCTTCAAGTTAGCATTGTGACTGTCTTTCATTGCTACATCTGTCAAAAAAAAATCTAATGACAAAATTGCCTGACAATTCAAGACAGAATGGCATTTGGCGCTGCCTCTTGTCATCCCCATTCCCTTCCCAAAGCTTCAAATCTTACAGCATTTTCTTTGACTTTAAGATTGGTTCAAAATTCTTACATATATATATATATATATATATATATATATATATATATATATATAATGTGTGTGTGCTATTGCTTTTTGTATTTTATGGTGTTTGTCTGCAAAAGGATGAATACATTTAGAAGAAATGGGTTTTGTGTGAGTGCACATATATAAAAAAAATGTCTATATCCATTTATCAGTGTGCCTGTGTATAAATTTGTGTATATTGATGAATGAATGAATTTATACACTTAGAACTTATTTTAGGTTTATGGGTATTTATAAATGCATACACATTGTGTGTATGCATTTATGAATGCACTTTGTGAGTATGAGTCTAAAAATGTATTGGTGGGGCTGTTTTCTATCTTCCTCTGAGTAAATACACACTTCTATGTGTGTGTGCGCATACGCCTATCCTTGTGTGTAAATATATATATATATATATATATATATATATATATATATATATATATATATATATATATATAAAATGTGCGTTTGTTACCATTGGTTGAAATTTATAAAATCTTTCTCTTAAAACTGTTTTTTTTTTTCAGGAAAATAGGCTTCTCAATTCCACTAACTCTTTATCACTCTTTTCAGTAATGAATGGGGGCTTCTTTTTTTACCTTTTGAAATAATGTGTTATGTCAACATCTTAATTATATCATTATTTTCTCTTTGAGTTACATGTGCTATCTATTTTAGTTGTTGAATGTCCTCAAATGATATGATTTGTATTCTGTAGCATCAGTCCATTAGAAAAAAAGAACAGTCTTCATTGACCTACAGTTGTCATTCACTCAAAGCTATATTAATCATTTCTGAATGGATTTGGCACCTTGCATGACATCTATATGAATATCTCGATCTAACGAACCAATTTAAGAAAATGACTTGAGTTTTTAGGTTAATGTCTTGGTTTTGTAGCAGTTTGTGGTATTGGGCAAAACTACACCTAGAACAGCTTATTCAATTTCTTTACCTCCTACACTAAATTTATTATAATTAATTCATATACCAAAGTATTTGACATTTACTAATTCCATATCCTGAATTTTTATGATAGATTCAGAGTATATTCCATTAGTGCTTTTATTCCAATTCCAGATCATAGTTTCTGTTTTGGAAAAGTTTATCTTGAGTCCTATCTCTTGGAACACTTGATAGAGGATGTTTTCATTTTGATGATGGATTCAGGGTAGGCACCATCACTGCTTTCATTCCAATTCCAGACCTTAGTTTCTATTTTGGAAAGATTTGTGTCGTATTTCTTGGAACACTTGATAGTGGATATTTTCAATTTTAAGATAGCTCTATTTTTAATTTTGGGTCTAGTCACTGGATCTAACTAATGATTTTATCCACTGGTCTATGTGTAAATTAATTTGGTATGTGGTATGTAATGCTTAAATGATTAGTGCCCATCTCTTTATATCTGTGCTTGTATATATGCAGAGCATAATCTGGGATGAGATTAAATAGATTGGGACTCTCATTTCCTCCTTGTCATAAACCTGAGGTTTGAAATGTTTCCATATTGGGGTATTGTGTGTATGTTTAATTTTTGAAACACAATGAAATTTGTTACATGTAATGTACATACAACCAATGAAAACAAAATAAATATAGAATTTAAAACCAGAAATATAATTTTAAATCATATCCACTTCAAAAATTTCTGATGAAGGTAAATAAATAGCAAAATATGTCAAATTTATAAAAAAAAATCTCCTAATTGTTCCTTACTTAATCTTTTTTTGCATTTAATCCATATTTTCAAATTGAGTATGCAAACATTTCTATGTTTTGTTGTATAAGTGTGTGTGTGTGTCACTTCACTTGATAAGGCATGTGTTTTTGGGTTTTTTTTTTTTGTTTGTTTTTTTTGTTGCTGATTTTGTTTTTAATTCTCAACTTAGCCAGAAAGAAAAAGAGTTTTAGAACAAACTTTTTTAATAATTTTATAATGTTACTTGAATAAAACAAAATTCATCCTGATTCAAACATGGAACAAATATTTAAAATTAGACCTGCCAAGATAAAGAGAGAGGGGGGGATATTGTATTTGTAACTGTACTTCTGATGCTTTTGTCAACTCACTTGGCTTGCTTACCATTCTTCTTAGGTGGAGAATTCTTCAATTCAAGGTTTTCTATTGTTATTTTGAAAGGGAAGGGGACAATGGTTCTTTTGCAGTGAACCACTTTGCTTGAGATTGCTGCAATGCTGATAAAAGAATAAAATTAAATCTCAGACTTGCAGAGATTTTCAGGCTTCTGGTATGTTCCAGGCTTAAAAGAAATTCAGTTTTGAGTATCAAGAAACAATGAAGCACAATTACAAACACATTGACCTCCTCTGTTTTCATAATCAAGCCTTGGGGGCTTGACATTTTTTTTATTATGATTTCTTTGATTATAGAGAAGGACAATTTCAACCATATATTCTGTTCCTGATTGTCTTATATATTGAATTTTTTCCAATTTCAAAATTACAATTTCTTAATTCCATCAGATCCTGTTTATTGAGCTTCTATATTAATTTGTGAAATATAAAAGAATAAAACAAAACATCTATTTATTTAACTCTGTTATTCTAACAGTGGAATGTGTGGACAGTGTACCAGAGAGCAGTGCTGAAATTGGAACTGGTGGGTTATGTTCAAATTTTAGGATAATCTTTTGCATTCACTTTTGCACAATCTTCCACCAGCTATAGTCTGGATAGCAGGGTAGACTGGTCTGTCTAGCTTTGGGGGTATTTTTGGAGGAAATTTTACAAACTTATTATATCTATTCCATTTATTAATTTCACACATTTTGACCCTTTAAATGATTTTCAAATACATTTTATTATGACTCCTTGTTTGCTGCATATAGAGAAAAATTTCACCCCCACCCCAATTATTATCCTTCTTGTATTAACTCTCCCCATTGTATTGGACACTAGAACAAATTGAGAAGAATCTCAGTGAAAATGTAAATGTAAAATGTTTTCCTCTGTTGTATAGAATAAATTTGATAGCTGCTATTTCTAAACTAATATTAAAAACAAACTTTACAAAAAATAATCTATTTCTTGTATAATTTTTATATATTTTTCTGTGTAGCAGAAAGTCACAGTAATCAAATTTAGCTTTTGAAGTTTCAAATAAAATATCTTTTGTATTTAAGTTATTCAACTGAAGAAAATGGTATCTTTAGTGAAGGGTGTCAACCAATCATACAAGCCCAAAATGAACACATTTGTCCAAAGTAAAGATAAGAAAATCATATTCTTTGAAAAATCCACTGCTTGATACGAATGGAAACTCAACAAGTGAATCAATAAATTCAGCTGAAGACAGAAAATGGTAAAATATGTGCCAGGATAAAAGGACAGAATATTAGTCACCTTTTGAAAATGGGAATCAAGAAGCAAATGTGTGTAGAAGAGGTTCCAAAAGAAATCTTTCACATTGATACTGCCATTGACAAAATTGAAAGAAAAGAACACTTTACAGTTGGGTTAAAATCATTTAGCTTGAGAAATTGCAGTAATACTACATTGAAAGCAGTAGTCACTCCAGAGTTTGGGCTTGTCAGGCTCAGCCTGAGTGAGTCAATGTTTCAAAGCAACAAAAACCTTTCATAGTTTGTCATTTTCATTCTTGACTTCAGCTAGATCCAAAATTGTTTTAACTCTGTGCTTCAAAATATTGACTGAAATAAATTTCATTGATATTGTTCATAATAAAGAAAGAAAGAAAAAAAAACATTATTCTGGCTAATCAGGCTGCGTAGATCTGAGCCCTATCAGCCTAGAGACATACTTAATAGGCAGCGTATTTCTTGCTTTAATTTTATAAATAATCTTTTAAAAATCTCTAATGACTTACATGCTCTGTTTTTCAAAGAACACATTTTTATTTCAACTTATTGTTTTCAAATATCCATTTTTAAATAATTTATTCCATACAGTATAAGATATTTTAGTGAGATGTATCAAGTGAAAAAGGGCAAATTAAATTTAGCCCAACTTAAAGTCAGTGAAAATCAAAGAAAGTGGAAGCTTTAACTCATCAACTGGAGAGTTGGGGTGAGGAGTGTGACTGGGTTAGTGTTGAGGAAATATGATATCAGTCAGCTATTCCTATCTCTGCAATCAGTGACTTAATAACCAAGCTATAAAACAATAAAAAATGGAAAGTGGCCAATATACAAACATATCAAAGATTTTGTCCTCACTCTTTTTTCTTACATGTCTGGAAAAAAATTTTTAAATAAATGCTTATTTTTATAGAATTATTACAATTAATATTAAAATACCAAAACGTAATTTTTTTAATTTCATGCATATAGATTTTTTAAAAATTATATATTTTAGTTAGAGTAAAGGAAACTTTTTAATATTTAAGTTATAACAATGGTATATATTATTAAAAATTGTAATGTGCCCAACAAACAATGATGACCTGGAGTCGCCACTGATTGAAAGACAAAGTTACAATATTGATCAAAAGAATTTTTCATTTTCAGGTGTAGTTTTTATTAAGCTTTTGTCTTCTAATGTATTTTATTCCTAAATTTACCTGTAGAAATTATATCTCAATTTCTGACTAAAATCTGTCGAACATTTTGCCAACTTTAGAATTTTTAATCAAAATGAATAATTTGGGATTTTTATATAAGAAAACGTATACATATATCTATATGTATTTTTTTCAGTTAGCCTGATGAATATTTATGCACATTTCTTAAATTTAAAAATTTTGAAAAACATCATTTTTACTTTGTTTATAAATACTTGTTACAAAATAAAATCCTTACATTTACTTGACAAAATACATCAGTGAAATTTTCCTTTTGTCTTTATTCACACACATACACACACACATATATGTATGTATGTATGAAGATGAGACAAAGTAGAAAATTTTTTATCAAAGACACATTTCACCAGAGAAAGCTTATGTTCTCTTTGATGTCATTAATGTGAATAAGAGAAAGACAAAACTATTTGTTAGGAGAGTGTCTTGGAATCTCTGAGGATAAGTTGACTGTCATAGATCATATTAATTACTCTAGCTTATGACTTTCTGGACATCTCCCTGGTAAAATGCGTCTTTGATAAAAAATTTTCCTTTTCTTTCTCATCAGCTTCACTCTTGTTTTGGATATTATTATACATCTTACAAACACACACACACACACACACAATTTCCTAAATAAGTTCCTGGTAAACAATGACCAAACACAAGTAAAAGTTTCATGCGTTTTCATACAATTATCAGCTAGTCAGCAATTACTCTACAATTAAATATGAACTCTTTTTCTCTGGCCTTGTGCTTTTGTAGCATACTCCCTTAGGAATTGCTTACTTTGTACATTTGTGTATATATAAAATGTGTTTTGATATATACCAGAAATTTTCTGAAGATAATACCATTATTTTCATTTCATCAAAACTACAATAACTACTCAGAGCACAATAATACTGTTGGATAAAACTCTCTCTCTCTCTCTCTCACACACACACATATGTATGTATATACAGGGAAGTGGTGATAAGTTCTCAATCTGATCTACTTCCCAAAATCTGTTTAAATATCAAAATGTTTTGGGAATTCCTTTTTGTTAGGCTGAGAACATTTCAGTAATCCCTTTTGTATATACACCAGGTCTTTGAGAACACACCTGATATAATTTGAAGATGGTCTAACATAATGTTATGCAACCTGCAATAAACTTTAATATTCTTGTTTTCAGATGTATTAAGAGCATTAATATAAGAGATTCCAATCAGGCACAGGAAATGAAAAGATATATGATGTGCTCATGACATTAGCCATTAAGTACAGTAACTCAGCTGGCTTCTTGAAAGTTGCCAGGTGAACTGGAGAAACTGTACAGATCCTATAGAGGTACCACAGTTCACATCATCTTTGATGGTTTTGTGGCAGTTGTGAACAACAAAGTCCACGTTATACCCACCTTATTCTTTCTACATGGTTTCACAACCTAAATCAAGCTACTAGACACTGTGGCTAATCTCTGGATCAAGAGGGTAGTTCTACTCTCTTCCATGTGGCTCAGGAGTTACTGGACAAGAATTTTCACTGTACTATTATCACCCATAAAATGTTCCTCTTTTCAGTTGGTGGGCACTCATTGGAAGCTTCCACCATGGATGCACATACCAACAAAATTACAATCAATTCTGAAGCCATCCAAGGCTGATGGTAATTTATTGAATAACCTATATCTTTTGAACATGTGAGCAATTATTCTTGAAAACATACTGGTTCTTTCTATTGAATATCTTTGTTTGTTTTTCTTCATTATTTGTTTACAATTTCCTGTCACTCCCTGTATAGATAAGAAGTACTGAAAAGTCCTTAACTCCAATCCATTTTTTAAAATCTGACCAGATGTCTAAATGTAATTTTTTTAAGGGCTTCTCAGTTGAGTCAAAAAACATTTCAGCACTTCATCATATATATATATATATATATATATATATATATATATATATATAATTTATCCATTGTACCCTGTATATATTGGTATATGAATATAGAGATTCTTGAGAAAATCCCAAAAATAATCTGCAATGTCATTGGTCTTGGCATTTTGCTTCCCTGTGCCTTTTCTATAAATATTTTCATGGTAATTTTTCTGATGAATTTTACTCTATGGTACCTAAAGTTTATGAATTCAAGCACATTATTGGATTAGCAGCAAGGTCTCATCATTTTGAATTAGCTGAATTGGCTTGATGTAACCATAAGTTCTATGCTAACAGTTTTTCTCACACTTCTTGCCTGTGGAACTCTCTTCTGGCTTTCCAGTCAACATTGATCTTCAAAAATTAAAAAGGCAATGTCAAGCATTATCTACTGTCTTCTTTATTACAATGATCTTTCTCATTAATAATGTTTTTCTTTTACTTATTTTTTCACACTCATTAACTTAGTGGCTTTATTATCTTGCTTGGGGTGAAATGATTAAAAAAAGATATATAAATTTATCTGTCTCTGTTTGTTTGTTATCAAACTCCTCATAGGATTTTGGAGATAGACCCCATAAACATATATATTCTGAAACTACATTACCCTGGGTACTTGGATAAGTATATTTCATTTCCCAACAAGTGAAAATTTGATATAAATTAAATTTAAATTTGAACAACAGAATGACTCCTAAGATCTAGAAGGAAAAAGCCAGAAAATAAAGGTCTCATTGGCAAGATCATTGAGTAATATTGAAATGCATCATTTTTCTCCACAAATTATAACAATGATTTAAAAAAAAATGTGTGACACGCAGCAAGGCATGGATAATTTGGCTAGTGTGTGTGTGTGTGTATATATATATATATATATATATATATATATATATATATGAGGAGGCACAGGGGAGTAGTGGATAGAAGCTCAGATTGAGGAATTCGAGAGCCAAGTTCAAATTCCAGTCAAATCCATTACATTCACTTATGTGCTAATTGGGAAAGGTATTAATCCTCTAATTCTCCCTTCAGCTATGGGTAAAAAGCAGGACAGACTGGATTCTATAGCCTTGGATGGCAACTGGTCTAGGAGATCATTTCAAAATAGTTCTGTGGAATTTAGAAATACAAATACATAGCATTTATTTTAATTAAAACAACCCAGGTAAATCAAAACCAATCAGCTTCACCTAAATTGATTTGGGATTTAAGAATTTTCTTTTCATTAGGTAGGACCTTAAATTCTGTATGTATAAAATGTAATATTTTCTCTGCTACTAATGTATTTTGAAATTTCTCCTTTTATTACTATAATTTAGCTGTCTTATAGACATTAGCAGTTTGACTATTAGAAAGTTTTTTTCTGTTTACTACTTGGATTTTTGTTGCTGAGTAGCTGAACACCTCCACAACATAGACTGGTCTAAGACTATTTAAACAGCACTCTCTCTTAATGAGTGAGAGGAGTTAACAATTAACTTTTTATTACATTAGTCTCTGTTCTCAACTGTGTACCATATTATTCTCTAGAATAAATTACTTCTTATTTTCTATATGTGTGTCAACCTTTCCTTTAGTTTCTGACAAAACAGTATCAATCAGAGAATTTACCATCTTGAATTTCCACTCTATGCCAAAAAAAGCCTTCCCTTTGTACAGCAAGTATTTAAAATTATGAGGCTTGACTTTAACAAATCTAAAACATATAATTGTCTTTTAAGTGATCAGATTATCTCTACAATGCAAAAAGCCATTCTTCTTTTCACCCTCGTTTTCAAATTCGGTGTTTTGATTATGTTTACTTTCCTTTCTTTCTTTCTTTCTTTCTTTCTTCCCATAAAGTTTTTGTTTTAATATTCTCCTCATCTTTATCTTGATATTTTGTCTCATTCCCATTTTATCATATGTTAGACACCTGTAACTTGTCCGTTACTTGTGAATTTCTTTTCACTCCCTATATTAATTACTACTCTTAACCATGGCTGCCAGGAACAGTGTTTTCTCTTGTGGGACAACTATTGCTCGTACTTGTCTGTCATCAAATTTTCTGCTGGTTTAGCCTCCTAATTCAATACCTTTCAAAGTTGCACATTGTCTCATGTGGCTGCAAGTTGTGTGCTGCCAATAGTGAACAGATACTGTCTAAGCATGACAAAGACTTGGACATTAAACGAAATGAGAACCATGAAAATATAGTGTGTTAAAAATAGAGCTGATGATTATAAATGGGAAAACTTATGATGTCATTGAACAACATTACTTGGCTCTGGATAGATATTAATGAGACTAACAAGAAAAGAGAGAATCTCTTACAGATGAAAGAAAGTAAGCATCTACTTTATTAGAAGAGAATAAGAAGATTAGTGGGATAGGATTTCTAGCCAATAGAAACATTGCAAGCAACAGAAAGTTTTAGCAGTAAATTGCACTGTGAATAGCTTATGTAGTAATCAGATTATGCAAAAGATACATTCTAAAACTGATCCAAACATATGCACTACCTTTTAAAAATTCAGATTAGGAAATTAAAGGGTTTTACAACACTATCAGTAGACAGGAAAGAATTTACATTATTTTAATGCTAAACTTCTTAAAAAGATACAAAATGACAATTATGAATACATGTTTTCAAAAATGAAGATGCTATAAATGGACTTTGAAAACACCAAATGTAGAAACAAAAATGAAATTGACTTCATAATTAGTGATAAAGTCAGTACAGTTAACGATGTAACCATCATAAACAACATTAATAGATGAGATAATCATAGAATGGTAGCATAAAGAGATAAATTTGACTTTAAAATTGAGAGAAACAAAATGATTCTTGGAAGAAAACTTCTCTTTATAAGATCAAAGAGAACATCATTGAATTTTGGGTAAAAATCAAGAACAAATTCCAAGCTTAATAGAATAAAGAAAATAACACGGAAAATATGAAGAACAAATTGGCAACTGAAGGAAGTATCAAAGATAACAGAGGAAATGAATGGAAGTGGCAATAACAAAGGGAGATAACTCAAAGTCAATGCAGGAACTGATGAAAAAGAAGAGAAATATGGTTGTAAATAATAAGAGAGATAAAACTGAAAATGCAGAATTAAAATATTGAACAGAAAAGTGAGACACAAAAGAAAGAAGATTAATAATAATAGATTAATAGAGTCAAAAAAACTGTCAGAAAAGGAAAGAGTTCAAAACATATTGGATCTGCAACCCACACAGATAAATAATAAATGCTTTTATTAAAAGACAGAAATGAGGGGAGTTGCCAAATATAAGGATAAGACATTAAAAATAACTGACTACTATGCAAATGTGTATGATTTGAAAATAAATAATGCAACTACACTCACTCTGGCAGACTAGGGCAAAAATGGCATAGTAACAGACCTTTTGAAAGATGCAGGAGAAGAATACCACAACTATTTACCCAATACATGCAGAAAAATGAACTTCAAAACTTAAGTCTAGAAAAATATAATTCTACTTTATAAAATGGATAAATTATTCTTAAGAGTATTTACAAGTATATTATTTATTTTATCATTTCACCCCCAAGAAAGGTGATAAAGCCACTAAGATGCAAGAGGTTACTGAGGAGGAAAATTGAAAACCAGCCATATCAACAATGATCCACTGCCAACAGATCAGTTGATTAAAAAAAACAGTCTTTTTGGGTTTTTTTTTTTTTTTTTGGTTCATGATAAAAAACACTTGACTCAGTCAAATATGTAGCAGTTTTTAACTTACTATGAGAGCTGAGTGTTAACAAAAACTATATAAAGGTTATTGAGAATATATTCAATAACAGCAGTATCATAATTAAACTGTTAAAAGGTTGAAATAAGATAAATACTGAAAAAGGAGATATGATTTTGCCTCAGCTATTTACAGCAGACATTAAAAGTATCTTTTTAAAAATGAACTGGAAAAGAATCAGAGTAAACATTAAAGGAGAATGCTTAATTTAAGAATCGCTAATGATATTTTACTCAGATCAAAATCATTGGATGAATTATAAGAAATGCTAAATAGAGGCAAATTCTGAATTGAGGTTTAAAAATAAGCAGAAATGTTCAGTGGTAATATTCTGAAAAGATCATAGAAAAAGGAAAAAAAACTAGAAGTCTAAAAATATATTAAAGGCAGGTGAAAACTGTAAGTATATGTGGCTGAGTTATCAAAATTAATTTCTGTTGTACTGATAATGTCCCTTCAAGTCACTCCACAGTCTTAACAAAGGCTGCCTTTTTATGGCATCTAACACTAATTTTTGATCATATGAGATATCACCTAGTTCATATAGATAGAGTCTACCATGCACAGCACAAGCGATCATATATTGTTTATGCTGGAGGGGGCATGGGGGATAGGCTATGTCCATAACCCCCCCCCCCCTTACTGATCTCACTATCACACAGGTAACAGCTGGAAGGCAGCCTTTTACATCTGTAAAAGCAGTTCAGCAAGCTCACTTGCTTCTTGGAGTGGCCCTTTTACTATCTGCCAACCTTCATTGTTGTCACCATCACTTGATTGGTTAGATTCAATATCAGTTGAAGGGATGTCTTCATCCTTCATTACAGGTATGTATATCTCATTGTCACTCGACTTGGTGGTGTTATCTTCCAGAGAACTGCTCACCATATGAAGAAAAAGGCAGAGGTCTCTCAAATGGCACAGAATTCCATCCACATAAACCAATTGGGGTCTCACAAATCTGATCACTGTCCCCATCCTCCATTTACTCATGCATCTGTTTGGCAGACTCCTTACTAGTATAATGTCCACTTTCTTATACATACCCTGCTCAGACTCTGGCTTCAGTGAGTGGATCCTGTTGACACCTTTCATTTGAACTTCTTACTGGTACAAGGCATTAGTCAGCGCAGTCACACTGTGGATGCCATCCTTTGGCATAACATTGTACCTGTAAACTGCTTCCTGCACAGAGCATTGCTTTTTGGCAGCTATCCACATTATGGGTCTGTGTGATCATTCAACAATGCTGTTTCCAGATGGTGCATAAGCACATTGGAAATGCGGGTGGACACCCTACATCTCAGCAAATGTTCTAAAGCTCTTGCTGTTAAATGCCATATCAGTATCTATCAAGACCTCTTTAGGTGGATCAGGGTCAGGTGGTGAGCAGCCCTGATGATATCCTTCCCTAGTCTATGCCATATATCTGCTGTCTCCAGTTTCCCTTTTCACCATTGCCAGATTGATTGACAGATATTCCAGGCAGGATTTAATAGCACTTCCCTAACAAAGTACATTGTTTTAAACCAGTATGTCTGCTGTGTGAGTGTATTTGCCTTATCTGACTTGGTTCCATACCATTACCATTCACAGTACATACAATCTTCAAAAATTTAAATGCAGTATCAACCACCATCTTTTGCTGACTTGAACCCTGTTCATCATTTATCCTTTCCTCAATCCCCCTATTATCCAGTCTTTATACTCATTTTTTACTCTCTGTAACCCTCTGCATACTAGTGGCACTCCCATTTTGCTTGTGGTGAAATGATTAGAAAAAACAATACTTAGTAACTCCTTCTGTGTTAGTGGTTTTATTACCTTGCTTGGGGTAAAATGATTAAAAATATATATGTTTAAAACATAAACTGTATAATCACAACTATGATGTACAACTAAAAAATATGGAAATTAACAAAATCATATGAAAACAAACTCAGAATTAAAATGTTAGTGATAAAAGATTGAAAGAGGTTAACACGGATCAGAGAAGAAACCAGGATAAAAGTTATCATAGAATTAAAAGACAAAAATAGAGATTGGTGGGTCCTATCACAAGAAGGATAACAGATGGAGCAAAAGGTTGCTTGTTTAGTGTCCAATGGATAACAAATGCAATAGAAAAAGACTAGACAAAAGATGAAGAAATGAACTAGAGAAGTATGTGTCCTATCACTACAGGACACATACTTCTAACAATGGATAACGAATATAACTGTTAGATAGTAATTTTGGTATTTTACAAAAATATCAATTTGCATTTGAAAATATTTAACGGTCTTTTTAATAATCCTGGCTGAGATGCATTTTTAGTTTCTTTTTGATAAAATTATATTTTTACTTTTTTTATTTATTGTTAGCCATAAGCCCTAACAAAAAAAACAAATCCTTTACCACTTTTTTTTTATTGTTCCTTTTTTTTATCATACATTCTCATCATTATTTTGAATTGTTATTCTTTGTATTAAAAAGTCACTAAGCTAGCACCCAGAATAGAACTTTTTAATATACAATGCCATATGTTGTCTAAGTTCTATTTATAACTGTAAGTATTTGATTAGTGTCTCTATGTTCTGTTTCCATTGCAGCTCTTATTCACCCCCATCATCTTGTAAGATGATATTTCTTTATGAGTTCTTTGATGTGTGTCTGCTCCATTCCAGTTTATTGCCTTTCAGCAGGTGAGATCTGTAATTGTCAAATAGAGGCTATTTTGATATCAGCCACTTCAGGAAAAGATTTTTTAAAAAATAGCAAAGTTTCTAGTGTCCACCATGTTTTTATACTCTAGTCCTCTGTTCACCATTACTCTCAACATCTCTGTTATTTTCTTATAATAAAGAAGACATGGACTTGTAGGTTTCCGGGTATATTTGGTTTAGTCATAATTAGGAAAAGTAGAAATAAAAAGAACTTTTTCTTAGGAGTTTGACCTTTTCAACCTCATTACAATGAAAATATCCCATATAACATCTTTGCAATAATGGGAAAAATTAAGTTTCAATCAGATTTAATTAAATTTATTTTCTATGCTGTAAATCATTATTTGAAAATTGATGAACGATTGAAGTTGATTTGCTTATCAGTTCTTTTTAAGAGAAGAATGAACTGATCAAAATAAATCAGACATTTTTTTCATCATGGATTTAGGTCAGTGTTTTGAAAAAATCCCATGATCTTATAATAATAAAATTCTTTAGGAATTTAATCTAGAAATTATCATGCATGAAAAATAACTTTTAGGTATTAACTCTTCACTCAGATTCCCAATTTAAACTCAGCTTTAAAGATAATTTAATCTT